ACATACACACANACACACACACACACACACACACACACACACACACACACACATTATATATATATATATATATATATGTTAAACACACCTGAGTGTTTCGTATGATAGCTGTCGCTGCGGTTGACTGATATCTTGGACGTGTTGTCGTCCTCCACACCCTGCGCCGGTGACTTAATGGGCCGCATACCCAGCACAGCGGCGGACAGACATACCTGCACTGCATCGTCGACTTCTTCGCTAATCCGCACGTCATAGCTCAGCTGTGTGTATTGTGTATGTAAAGTAGCGTGATCATTAGTTCCGAGGAAGCAAAGTGCTCGCCTCTGCACCTGTGCCAGAAAACCAGGCCAAGCACTCTTCAGGGATCAGCCCATGTCGTGATGACGTAGCCTAAACCAGCGTCGTACTAATCAACAGTTGTCTACATTCTATTAGGCTGACACATACGACCAGGCTTTGTGAACTGACGAGGTGTTTCTCAGCACATGACTATATTGGCAGATAAAAGCAACTAACTCACACACTTTATGCACGCGCACGTCAACACATGCAACATACTTTCGCCATACAGCAAGGGGTCATGTGCCGTAGCTTAAAGCATACACCGTGCAGCAGTGAATTGCAGATAGAGGCCAGGCGCATGTTTAGATGCTTCTCGCTCTGGGAGTCCAGCACGAGCCGTCGCAACGCAGTGACGCTATTCAGACTAAAGGTCTCGAAATCTTTTAGGAATCCGGGCACTTCCTGTATGTAATTTAGTATGGGAGGAACTCACGCGTTATGGCATATTCCGACAGCAGAACCTGCGCCCATAAACCTCATCGAAAGGATCCGATAGTATCTCCATCAGACAGTTCACTGTAAACAACTAAACCTACCTGCGTAGTACACATCCAGATGTCGTGAGGCATGGGTGGCTCCAGAAGCACACCCATGCTGTCCTCATCGGTTTCGTCATCCACCTGTGCGGTTGTATCGGAGATAGATGAAGTGAGCCAGTCGAGTCTACTTATCCCCACCATAACCATGCACCAAAACCCCCACACCGCATGAAATGCGGACGAAATACTTGCGCTTTCAACAACAATCAGCGCCACAGCTCATCTCAGCAACATGAGTTCTACTCACCTCCACAACCGTCAAGCCCCTAACCGTCCCAGTCACGGTAGGTGCCCCATCCTCATCTTCGTCGCTGGTGGTGTTGTCGCTACTCGACGAGCTGCTAGATGTATCAATGACATCATCATTGTACAATGTGCTGCCGTTAGCCGTTCTCGTGTCTAGCTCCTCTGCCGCGTCATTGATTGCCTCGTGCATGGCCCATTCCTTGTCAGATTCGGCAATTGCCTTGGCCTTGCCTTTGCTGTTGGTATCAGCCCCGGAGCCCTGTATTGTAAGAGAGGGTATTGTGCGGGTGAGATTGTAAATAGACAGATGGATATGGATACGAATGTATTTTGTCACCATTCTCCAACTACGCATCTGGCTTGGCACTTGTTTGAGCGGTCATCCACTGTACTATTCAACGATTGTTAAAGGGCGAAGCACTGTACAAGGACATGCAATGCTAAGTGCATAATTCGCAAACTCTCAATTGTTACCTCATCACCAATCCCTGACATAAGTGTCGAGGCCATACAGACACCTTGTTGACACACACCAACACCCACATTCAACAACCAAACATCACACCTCTTTCGTGGGCAGCGATACAGTGGTCGACCGGACAGGTTGCCTGTGTGCCGTAGTCACCGGTGCGCTCAGATGCCGACCAGTGGGTGGCGTGGCAATGTCTCCCACATCTGGGCCATTGGCTCTGTATGTGCAATGGATATCTATACTATTAAGCAGTCATGTGCTCATTAAGGTATCTCGGCGAAGGGTATCTTCAAACCCACGCGAGTGTGAATATAAGCCACGATTTGTCTGTTCCGATCTATCTATATTTACATAAGATTGGGAGATGCTGACGGATCCCCCACTCTGATTCCTTTTGAAACCAGGTGTGTGTTTTGGAAGACTGAGCTATGTGAAGCGCACATTCACAGACGACACAGACGCTCACCTGTTGGGCGAATTCAACAATTGCAGTGGGTGCACCAGCGTTTCTTCACTCGCGAACTCGCTTTTGATACCTATGAATCAGAGGGACGAGAACAGAGTTACGGCGATCGAATAAAGGGTCATTTAATTCTACAGTTCGTATGCAGGGCTACTACATATGAGGTGCTATGAACACCAGAGTGGATGCGGAAGGCCCGTGTGAGTGATTGACACAGTTAGCTACGACTTTCGAGGAAACTATCTCACTATCGAAACGCCAGGGGATGAATGCGCATAATCGACAACGCGTGCATTCCCAAAGTACATAAGAATACGAACAAAGCTATGTTACGCAGTCAATTGAATCCGTTGGCTCAGCTGAGAGTTCTGAGCCCACGAACGTACTTGATTCATGCCCTCTCCGTGCTTCTCCACCGAGGACGAATGACTCGCGGGCGGATGCTGTTCGTCTGCCTACTTCATATCTGTCGACACCAGCGTTCTACGAAGAGCAAGTATAACGTCTTAAGAAAAACCAACTCGTATGGAAATATACGAGTACGTAAAGTACAGGGTGCAATCCGTGTCTTAGGGTCGTATCTGGCCGGTATATCTGGTCGGTAGGACAAGCATGACCGAATACAACGAGTATGGCGAGAAAGTCAAAGATTTATAAATACAACACACACGCACTCGCAGCGCAATGCCAATTAAGCACACGCCATTAAATCCATTTTGTACATGACTCATTCTGATCAAACTCACAAACATCTTTCACACCTCGTTCATGTTGGTTCTAGTCGTGCTCAGTTCCGCTATATCTTCAACTTTTGGCGTGTAAGTAGCTTGGCGAGACTCAGTCCCTGTACAGTTACAGAAAGACATTTCGGTCAGACAAATCGTTAATCAAATACACCAGCACCACCCGATAAATTAAAGCGTCGACAGCCATAGAATCGTGTGGATCACTCAAGTAGTTTGTATGCATTGCTGAACTGTCATGCGAGCAATAACTCGCACTCTATACAGTCAGAGCCACATACCCTCGACGAAAGAAGCTGGGGCAGCACTAGCCTTCCGCAGGTTCTCTCGATTCATCTCACTCACCAGCATGATTTGTTTTGCGATGTGGTTGAGTTTCTTATCTTCATCGTCAATAATCTACATCACGATATGTTCGTACAGTCACAAGGCGGGTTCTACCATTATGCAATTCAAATCATTGCATAACACCAGATGTACTCATCACACGAATGTGGCATGTGAGATGCTAAACATCCTACACCCCGTGTCGGGTTAGATTTAGCGGAGAATGCGGAATAATGGGAAGATATGGTACGTGTCGTAGGCAAGTTCCAACGCAACAACTGCAGTGCTGCGAAGGAGTCGTTCGGTTACACAGCCACAAATAACACATACGCGCGCGTGTTGTACACTGAGCACATCAATCAAGATCAATTGCACAGTGCACATTGCACTATCCACACTCGACACATAAACGTACCTCGAGCGTTCGCTCAATTTGGATTGCAGGTGGGGCGGGGAGAGCTTGCAAGTACACCGCAGTGCCAGCGGCCATAGCGATGATCAAACCATCGCCCACACTCAGTTCCATTCGCAGGCCGAATATGGCATTCATCCCTTTGACCTGTGCATTTGCGATGTAGACAGCAGTATTATGAGAGGGTGGCCGAATAGTCATCAATATCGAGGAGACGAACCACGACGACAAACGGTAGAGGAAAGTGTAAAGGACAACGGTTGGAAGCGAATAGTATTGTATATAAACTATATGAAATATAATCTGATATAAAAATAAAACTACAACTATCTGACTGAACAATGATATCCATTCAAAGGTGGCGTATACTCTGCAACCCAACAAAATCTAACAGTATATTTATATCTGGCCTCACAGAGCGTGCATATGATAGGTGAACCACCAGTCTACTTGTACCCTATAAAGAAACATACCGCATATATATACATATATACTATACACAGAAGGAAACATACGTTTGAAACTAGGCATTGACACTTATAACGGCGGTGGTGAACAGAAATACTGAAATTGCATACATTCACTTCAGCTAATTCAAAAAAAAACCCCCAATATAATAATACAACAAGAATACGCCTTCGAGTGTATGTACATTTCGTAGACACACAACATAAAGATACGAAAACGAGAAAAGTTGAGCGCACCTTTAACTTGTTGAGCAGCTGCGTATGCAGATCGTACTCCAGGAAGGGCAGTGCCTCACTGATTGCCACGGCTGTGTACTCGGGCTTCTCTTTCTTCTTGACTCGGCATACCCGCGCCTCTATGAGGTCTCCTGTGCCAAGGACATCGGCTTCGGGAGGCATTTCACTTGTGCATACGAGAAACTCTGGCACGGACCTCTTTCCACAAATATTGCAGCGAAACAGCTGGTGAGGTGTAGAAACGCATTTAGTGAACCCCTCAGAGCTTCCGTTTACGTACACCTAAAACATGACTCTCTTTACTTGGCCCTTCCAGACATTGAGTTGCTCTGCTGTACAACAAGACGTCACACATACACAAAGGCTGGACAGTATATGCCTGGATGTGGCAGCGAACGCACCTGTAGTGGGAACGGCAATTCACGCCGCCGATAAGGGATGTGCAGGAATTGACACGATTTGATTGCGCGCCGTTTGAGTGGTTTGGGTGTGACTGGGTTCTGGGTCGGCGTGTTGCTTTGTGGTCGTACTTGTGGTGTGCCCTGGTTCGTCACATGGGTTTCATCGAGCGATAGCTCTGGGACGTGTTTTGGGGACTCTGCGCCCGCTAGAGAAATCCGCGGGAGATCAGGTATAAATAGGGTCTTATGAGTAGCAGATGGGTCTTAGCAAAGGTGGTTGTCGTCATACACACACCAAGATTTCGAATTGTAGATTTGGTTCAGGGCGGCGTATATGATACTCTCATACGTGCAAAGGCAAGGCCGTTTACGCCCAAGGTAGGTGCTAGCACAGTACAAGACCGCATCGAACCCGTGTGGAATCGCATGCTCAAAGCGTGCTCCAGTAAATTAGTTTCGCTGCGAAGGGATGGTAGATTGAGCGCACATCCGCTAAGAAGGATGTTTGGAAATCCTAGACATCTTGCATCAACTAGTGCAACGCATGCTTGGCTGTCTTCTTATGATATATCCTAATCTCGAGGCCATACCTTTGCCCTTATCTTTTTCTTTGTCCTTCTCAGATTGCCTCATGGGCACCTGTGCGCCGTCCGTGTCCACTAAAGCAAAATTGGTGAGAATGTCCGAGTCCATCACACATGCCGTACCCGATGCCGACAGAATAAACAATTCGTCGTGTATCGACGAAACCTGATTCGAATAAGTAGTGTTTTCAGTTGAATATTGTCAACTGAAGTTCGTAGATATACATCACAGAATAGTACAGGATAGTGACTACTTCGGACGTAGTGGCTAAAGTCGGATGTCAGCATTCCAGACATCAGCCGTGTTGTTTTTTCCATTTAACTAAACGCGCGATTGGAGCGCATGGTGCGAATAAATTGTGTCTTTTGCTGCTCATGATATATCTTATATATATATTCTTCCGAATAAGCCAACCACCAATAATAATGAAAAGCACAGCACTGGCAAGGTCATCATGTGTTTCCCCAGCATCCAGACTAACAAAATAACACAGACCACAAACACGACTCCGTCCAGATAAATTGCAACGCAAACTCACTTCTCTATAGGCCAGAACTACGTTGCACCCCATGGATGTGGCGTGTGACTTGATCTCCTCACGGACCTCCATCCACCAACTGTCCCTCGTTTCCGACCCGTCTCGCTGCTTGATGGTGTCGAGGAGCTTGACGGATCGAGCACTGACTACCCCACCCATGCGAATGTTGACAGCACTTGGCAGAGATATGAGCGTAAGCAGAATGACATCCTGAAGTTGGACGTGAATTTTACGAGGTATGAGGTATACAGCAGTCTGTATGTTTGTTGATTAGTTCGCTGTGTGAACAATGGTTAAATGTACATCGACGGTCTCGAGAGAAATACATACTTTGACCCTTCATTCCCGACGTCAAGTTCCCTTAAACCTTTTATGCACTTCGTAGCCGGTCTTTAGGCAGCGTGACGATGTGTCAGTACCCTCTGCCTTTCCAATTGATTGGAATGCCAGACTACACAAAGTACCGAAAATTAACCGCTCTGCACATCCGTACCACTACAACCACCCCCATCACACCTATATACAGCCACCACAATACCATAGTACTAAATACTAGCAGTAGTCACACCTGACCCTTCGGCTGGCCTCTGACGATATCTCCGCCGGTGAATACTTTGACTGTTGGTTGGAGCGCTGCCGAGCTTTTCTCAGAGTGAGGAACCACAGCATCAGAGATGCCCGACTTCGAAACTGCGTCAGACCCGCCCTCTACTGTACTGGACCGTGCTGCGGGCTCTTCGGGTCGTAATCGGTGCGCTGTGCGCGAGTAAACGAGTCTTGAGCAATGGTCCACACACAGCTTCGGAAATGCGCAGTGAACGAGTGTAAGAGACTTTCGATTAAGATGGAAAAATAGGTGTATGTACTTTTCCTGCATGTTGTTGACTCGGTGGCGGATTTGAGCACATCGAACAATCAGAACGCCTTGATGAATATTGTAAGGGATAGTTATAATGTGACAGATACTAATCGCGTATTGGAGCTCATTAACACATCGTTTCACACCATACACTAGAATTTGTGTTGCAGTCAGTACGTGTGAAAATGAAACGACCTTAGTTCTTCAATCACTGTGTATAGAAGTGACCTGATGCCAAATCTCGGGCCCTGTGTTCTGATTGTATCTCGAACACTACGCAGAGATCGATTATCGACAATCGATATAACACAGAAAAAAAACGGCATTGTCAATGATTGTTTGTACCTTGGTGCTCACCATGTTCTGTCCCCGGAACGGCGGCGCCCGTTAAGTTTGCAGTTTCTTCAAAAGAGGCACTTTCAACAAGGGCGTCGTGCGACCGCAACTCCTTAACCGCGCTATTTTCTACAATTCCTGTATTGTTGAGTTATCATATTGCGATAAGTATAAGTTTTGTATCGGGTCGCTCAAGGGCCAGCGACAAGAAATGTTGGTGCGCAAGTCAGACCTTGCGCAGAAAGTATGCGCATGCTTGAGAGACGGCGGATAACCCTATATGAAGTTGGACATGACTTCCCATATTCACGGTTCGGCATAGTTACGCACCTCTGTTTTTCGAGGTGTTCGACAACTTTGTATTCATCTCCTCCGTATTGTCCGAATCGCTCAATTCACTTGACGTAGACCTCTTGGACTTCAGTTTCCTGTTCATGCTCTGAGACTTTACACCAAGTATACCCGAGAATGTTGTCCCTATTACCGGATCTGCTGTGGCCAACAGAAGGCAATCCAGTGCATTGAGTCGATATTAGTTTTTTATGCCTTTCACGACAACACATAAAAGACTCGCCAGGGGTTCACGTTTAACCCGGTATTCTCTACACGGCAAACTTTCTCAAAGAGACACATATCAAAACTAACACGCCAAATAAAACGGGGAGACAATCAGCACCGGGCCGGGCCAATTCACACACAGTGATTTACCTGAGCCATCATTTGTACCTCTTCGCTTCAGATTAGTAGGTGGACTTAGGCTGCCGTCTGTTAGTATGATCACGAATAAGTAACATTTCAGGTTAGATGACAGAAGACAAGATCGTGCGCCCTCAATCGCGAATCAGACCTATAGAGATAGTTGCAGTGGAGACAGTATACACACTGTCGGCGTGTCTAAAAATCTGACAAGTTTAGCTTGTTAAATAAACCACCTATATATCTTCAGATGCACCGTTTAATGTGAATAAACTTGCAGCTTAAAATCGTACGACATACCAAAGCTGGCAGTACTGTGACGAACTTGCGCTCCGGTGACCGCCTGAGACAGAGGCTGCGCCAGCGTGACTGCTGTCCCTATCCCTCGTACAACTAAGCCATATTCTTGCTCGATGTCAAAGCTCTGTCGGTTAAGAATCGACGATATCAGTGTCGCTTTGGGAAGAATAATGCGCCGACAGAGAATAGGCCACGCGTGGAAGACAAATATGATACAAACACACCTGCTGATACCCTACGACGGCATTTCCACCGAGTTCAAGGACTTTCAACCCCACTTTACGCTGTAACTCATTGCTAAGCTTCATGAACTGTCGCTGCCGGGCTTCGTTAGATGATCGTGATGTGCGGAAGGAGTCCTGCACACGCAAAGAAATAGTAGTAAGCAATTCTCTATGATGATTTGCTTCCAACGTCAAGAAATATATGCTGAGGTGTCAAAAGTACAGCCAACACCAACACAACTCATATCACCGCACTCACATTGGTTACTCCCCGAAGATGAAAAATGTGTGTTAAGATGAAATCAGTTTATCTCGCATATACCAACATCGATGTACTTATTCAGGCCATGACCATTGACCAATATATATGGACTAGAGGAATTGTTTGTCACATACCGCCCAGTGGTACTCAGGATCATTATCCACCACCAGCTCTTCTACAAACCCATGAATCGCCAAAGTTTTGTAACACTCCGGCAGTACACTCAGAGAAAAGATCTGCACACCTACGTCCAATGAGAATGGATTCACTTGAGAAACACCTGGAAGCAGACTGTGTCTGGGAAACTACAGTTCCAAATGAGTATCTTCGGATATATTTTGTTTAGTACTACAAACCGGGAAACACGAAGGAATGAATACTTTAAAACTCCAATGACCGTATGACTCGACTTGGCAATTTGTACATTTGTTAGGGTGTGAGGTAGAAAATGTGCCATGATTCTATTCTCTTGAACGTCGTAAAACCTCGGATATATCCAAATCAAATTCAGCACTCACATACCAACAGACGTGTCCCGGAATTGATTAGTATTGTTAAACAGATCCAATTTGATAACGATACTAACCTGGACAGGAAGATAAAACAAAAAATACGCTTAGTATGAACACCAAAACATATAGGAGCAGCATGCTGGTAAAATATCTAGTACATATGCAATGCCATATATGTTGTAGGCGAGTTACGGTTGTCGACGACATGTATCTATGTGATGTTGACAAACCAGGCGGGAAATAAGTAGTAATCTTCAACCGTATGAACTCTGAGCACCTCGAGACACAGTTTCGCAAGCCTGAGCCCATATTTAATAAGAAAGATCTGTAAGTGTGTCATCACATACCTCGCCTCTGATGCCGCGAATTGTGTCGTAAATAGGATACCAACCGGAAAGCTGACTGGGCGGATCCCATGTCAACAGAGGATTGAGAGACACATACACTTTGCCGATCGCATCATTGGCACTGATTGTGTCATAATCATACACCCTGCAAAAGTAGTCAAAAGGAATTAGAAAGACATGCGATTTTGTGAAGTGTATCCGCTCGCTATAGAATAAAACCACATAGCATCTACCTATTCTTGTAGTGATTGATCAACTACGCATACTTTCAATGCACTCTTCAACTTTAGGGGCTAAAGAAAAGATTCAGAAGCTAAAACAGGAAGTTAGAAACGACTCCGAATAAAGAATGCAAAATGCCTGGCTCTCGATGGCTTTATATTGGCGAAAATTCAGCTCTATAAAAGCTAAATATATAGTCAAAGAACTGATTGGATGGTGGTACGCATGTACACTGTTTACCTTCTCCATATCGACTAATATAGCGCAATCTAAACCATCGACTTCTGAGCTGAGATAAAAATTCAGTTCGATTGTTGTAGATTAAATTCGCATGAGACATTGTATTCTTTTCAGGTACACCTTACAATCAATACGACAGATATACATCGAGCGAATTCATACTTGATCTCCAACGATTCATCCTGCAGCTCCTCGTCACCAAGTTCAAATCGGAAATCTGCATTCCATACCGGACTAAGGGTTCGTCTACCGACGCCTGTATAAATTCATAAAATTGTCACTTTTAGCCAAAAAAGGGTAACTTCATCGTACACATGACAAACTTGTGCAAGGACTAAGAACACAAGAACATAAAAGGGTAGTAATTCGACCTCATCTGTTGCGAACCGAGATTATTGCAAATAGAAACTGTACATACTATTGTATGATATGAACACTGTGATCACTTCTACCCAGTTATATACGTATAACAACCAGCTCATCGAAATCCTATGAACACATCAATCTAGATACACTAGGCTGTGCAAACGAGTCACGCATAGACACATTAGCTTGCCCGCTTAGATACATGGCGGTATGTAAAGTTGAGCATGGTCAGAACTTTTGGGGGACACACACACACACACACACACACACACACA